CTGAAGTGTTGGATGGGTCAAAGAAACCTCAATTTGGCATGTGTAGCTTGAGGAGAACGAAGAAAAAATATTTGTAATGACCGTGCATTCATAAATTGACCCAAGCGTGGATATTTGCACCTAGAACACGACCAAAAACACGAAAACTTCGCAAAAACGCTCCACGAATCTTATCTCATGTTTAATTGAAGCCCAAACTTCCACTGTTGGTAGGCGAAAGTTTCAACAACAGTAAAAAAAAATTGAGGCGGACGCTACCCGTAGAGTAAGACTCTAGCAAACTCGAAAAAAAATGATTCCAATCATTTAATTTTTTACCTCTCAGGCCAAATACTGCCCTTGTATTAAGTCGGACGACTCAAACTATCAAAAAAGCAAGGAAATTCTTAATGGCCAACAAAGAAATCTAACAAAAACATAGCAGTCATATTTCATCAAATTTTGAAAACAATAACAACAAAACAATTTAAGCAATAAAAAAAACGCATTCACATAACTTGTTCTTGAGATCTTTTTTGTAAGAATTTAAGGTAAATTTCACCAAAAGTTGTCATTTAGCTCATTTTCACTTATTTTAAGCAGATTGAAATGCGTTGAAGGACAAATGCGTTTCTCGTTGTATCATTTGATCATTTTCAACACACATGTATGTTCTGGAAAATGTTTAACAGCGAAGTCAGGCGTAAATAAAATCGACCAAGACTGCTCGTATCAGGGCGAAGCGCTGAAAGTTCCGACTGCCTTTTAACGTTTATGGAGCAGTAATAACATGAACAACACAAAAAAAATTAAATGAAACAAAATAAAATGAAAAACTTTTTTCTAAAAATTGAAAATTTTTCTAAGAAAATCATCCCCCCCACTTGCCATATAAAGTATAAAACAATAGATTTCGCGGCTCTTTTTCCTTCCCCCCACCTCACTTAAACATGAATTTTATGGTCTAACGAGTGGTTTTACAAGGTAAATTATGAAGACCAAATATGTTTGTCATGGCCTAATCAATCTGTCTGTCAATTTTCATAACAATCGATTAAAAGTGAACAGTAACTTCAAGTATAAAAATTTGCAGGTGGGGGGAAAAGGAAAAAGAGCCGATTTCGCTCCTTGTAAAAAATCAATTATGGCAGATAAGCTTTTTTCAACCAATTTGGAACGATTTCTAAGACGGATTAAATCTCCGCTTACACGTTAATAGCGCGAATTATATCGCGTGTTAATTGTCCCAAATTGGTAAAAATGGCCAAAATGGCAATCTTTAAACCCTCATAACTTTACGAAAAATGATCTCAGGTAAAATATCTTTTCAAATTTAAGCTCAGGACAACAATAGCTTTCGAATGATATACGAAAATTCCGTTAAAAATGGCTAGTTAAAAAGTCGAAATTTGTCTGAAGAAAAAAAAACCCACCCCGAGCACAAATATTCCGTTACTTTCGTATCGAAAGTCGGAACAATAAATTTATTCCATTCTTCGTGTTGCTCCAACTCTTAAACTGCCATGCTAATGGTGCTGTCATCTTCTAGCCTCATCGATCTCCATTGGGTCCGTTTGCCTCTAATGCATATATTGGATGCTCTCATGTTGGCTGCTCTCAAAAAAAGTTCTGCAACGATCCCAACACATAATCTACTGAAAGGTTGTTCCATTTTGCATTGCACTTTATGCATCTGCAACTTGCTTCAAAAAGAAGGAAAAATCGGGTGCCAAGACTCCGCCCACATAACTCAAGTCTTATAAATGAATTGATTTTCAAACTTCTGTCAACATTTTGTTTTGATTCATTAATTATCTAGATTAGTTTAAGCAATGAAAGGAAACAAAACAACCAGATGAACATTATTGAGTAACACAAACAAGTTCCAAAGAAATAATTTGTTCATTTTTTTATTTTTTTCTTGTCAATTTTTGTACCGTTCAGTTTTTTATCGAATTTTTTATTTTGTTCAGTAATAAGACTGAAATTACAGAATCAGTTAGTGAAAGTAAAGTTTTGGGGTCAGAACCGAATTTTGTTGGTGAATTTTAAGGGTTTGATTTAAGTTTTTTGATTTATACGGTTCGATTTTTTTTGTTATTGTTTCCAAGCATAAATTTATTCCAGCATAGTTAGTAAGTTTTTTGTGCCGACGAAACTGATTATGTTAGTAAAAAACAATTTTGCATTGCTTATTTGTTTAAAAATCAAGATAATCAGTTTTGTCGGCACAAAAAACTAACTAACTATGCTGGAATAAATTGGAAACAATAACAAAAAATCGAACCGTATGAACCGTAATTTTTCGATTCTGGAACTATAGCCTTAGTGTCAACTCCCTACTTCCAGAATCGAAAAATTCTGGCTAAATCAAAAAAATTTTGAAATAACTTACATGTTAGCATTAAAAAAAAAGCGACAAAACGAAATTGTAAAAACAAAAAAAACTTAAAAACTCCCAGAAATTTGTGACAAAATGTTTAAAATTGTTACATTATAGTTATTACATAATTTCAGTAATATTTGTAAACTTTTGATTGGTTTAATTTTTTAAAATTTGAAATAAGGATGTGTATGACACTTTTTATGATCTTTGATCATTTTGTACAGATAGTTAAGAATTTTTAAAACCTGAAGATGCACAAAAAGGTGCAAAAACGTTTGTTTGAATATACAATTCTAACGCTTTCTCAAAAAAAAAGAAAAATGATAAGTATAGAGACTTTGTAGATGATGGATATCTTTTTCAGCCGCCAGCTTTTGAGATTCAGGGTGCGGCCGGCCCTAACACGGAAATTTTTTTGAACGCACTTTCTATGAACCTAAGCATCTGTGCTGAAGAATCCAGGGCAGGCAGCTTTTTTAAACAGAGAATCTCACTGGCTATACAGATTGCACTTGTATATTATATTTTCTCGTGTCGAGTTGCGTGTTCTCAATGAAGAAACGTAACCCGTATCGATTTTAATTGAAAGGAACATCAACACTTGTCATCTTATTTTATCATTATCACTTCCATATCTAGAAAATTCCAAGGATTTTGACTGGAATACGTGATGAAAGGACTCCTGACTGTAACCTCGGTTACTATGATACTTTTGACCTTTTGATTAAGTAAACAAAAAAAAATACAGATTGCGAATGCCGCCTGCGTACCCGGCACAAAAAATGACAAAACATTTTTCGACGAATTTTTTATTTATAATACAATACAGATAATTTGTATTTTCTTGTGTCGAGTTGCGTGTTCTTATTAAAAAAACGTAAGCCCCAATTTAGTTTTACTTTAAACATCAACCTTAATCGTCCTCTGTTTATCATTATCATTATGTGATTTTCGACCAGAATGCACGAAAATGCAGTTTCGTAATCGAATTTTTATCGATCAGAAAAAAAGAACATCTAACCGGGAAGATTGATGGTTTTAATGAATTAGCGACGTTATTTGAATGATTGGACAAATCGGGAAGGGTTAATTTTAACTGACATGCTAAATTTTTAAATTTCAATTTGGACATGAACGACACGTAACCTTCTATTATTTCGCACACACTGAAACGGCGAAAACACAACAACAATAGTCGCGGTGGAAGAAACTACGAGAAAATGACAACAGATTGAAATTGTTACCATGTAGAACCCGAGAAAAAGGAAGCAAGATGGGACGGCGTGTCTAGCCTTCCGGAAAGAAATAGGAGTGCTATTTCCCCGGATTCCAGAATCCGGAGGGGTCTAGGGCTCAGAACTCAAACTGTTTCATATAAACTTTTAGCTTCCTGGTCATGTCCTGAGTTGAATTTAATTAACATCCAGATTCATTTTCAGGGAAGGAGAAGCTAGGAGTGAGGGAAAGGGTTGATCCATCTTCGATGAAGATGATGATTTTTATCTACTGATCAAAAACAATAGTAATATAAGAAGTAGTTTTTGTTAAAAAGTAAATTTCGAACGTTTTTGCAACTATGTACATCGTCAGGTTTTACAATAAACTAATCAAAATGACGATTAAACATCAATTTACAAATGTTGTGTACAATAAATCACATACAATTTGGTTCTAAACCATCATGATAAAAGAAAGCCAATCACAGTTGACCTCTAAATAACTTTTAAGATTAAAATACTTTCAACCTCTAAAATTAATTAAACATTTTTACATTAATTTGTCTGGAAGTTTCTGAGTCATAATTTCGATTTAGACATGTACGTTTTAAATAAAAAACCAAAAATATTTTGGGACTAAATTTTCAGTGTTAACTCCCTGCTCCTAAACTCATCGCGCGTGTTCAAGACCGGTTTCTCTTTCCTGATATCTATTACCTCTAGTGTTAGCAATTTTGTTTGGTTGTTTGACCTATCTATAATTTCCCAACTAAGATCTGCGCTATTTCCCTCAAGTTGGTATTGCTGAAGATGGAGGCCTACCGGTGAGTCTGCTTTCTTATGTTCCTCAATTCTAGTGGTCAAATGTAATAGTAATATAATAAATAGTAGTAGCCCTGTTTTTAGGAGTGACCTCGTGGTCTGGGGATACTGAGACCCAGCCATGAGCTCACTATTTTTGCATATAATTAAGTTAATATGAGCGATCTGGTCGAAGCCGGAAAGCAGTAAAGTTTTGTCGACCCGATGTTAGGAAAACCACCAAAAGAACTTGCTTTGGCAGAGACGATGAAAAGCATGTAGAGCTGTGTTTAGACGCTAGCCAGGCGTTTTAGAACCTAGCTTTATTTTCCGTCGATATGTACTTCCGAGCGAATTTTACATTGCCATAGCTAGATAATTTCTAGGGTTTTGACTGGAATATGTGATGAAGTCACCCTGATTGTTTCTTCGGTTACTGTGATACGTTTGACCTTCTGATTACCTGTCAGTAAAGTATATAGGCAGGAAATCGATATATTCAACGATATATTTGAAGCTTCGTAGGTGCGAACCATGCGCTAGTTTTATCTGCGTTGGTACGGTTGTCATGGCCAATTTTTCTGCTTGTAAGTGTAAGCGGTGCATCTCATTCTCTCTGCAATCAATATAATTTTCAGTGTTATGGTTGGAAGTGTGAATAGTTATTCATCCACGCGGAAACGACGCCGCTCTGGTCAGTCAGATGCCAGCTCATCGATTATTAGTGAAGACGCTGTTGGCCTTGCTGGAAGTAGTACTCTGCCTATGGACCTTCTATCGCCCGCATCCAGTAATCTATCAGCCAAGAAAAGATCGAAAGGGGTTGCGCCTACACCCGGAAACTTGGTAAGTTGAGAAATGTCTCCAAGTTGATGCTCAACTAATTGGAATTTCGTTAGCAGAGCTTTAACTCATTTTCACTCTATAAAAACAGGCTGAAGAGAACGGTTGAACTTCTAACGTTGCTGCCGAATTCTTGGTTCACCTGCGTGATCCAGCCTCTTTGAGATAGGAACTAGATTTTTCCAGTAATCAATTATTCTTATCCAATCTGGCGGAGATTTCCGTCAACTGAAAGGCTGAAAGAAAGATCGTATTTGTTTAGATGGTTATAGACCAAACCAAAGTTGTATCTCCGCAAGTTAAGAAATAAATAGTTGCTCTTTGCGAATCTTTTTATAAGCTATATAAAATAATAATTACGTAAAAAGGTTAGAATATAATGTACCTTGAAAGTAAAAGAGATAAGTACATGAACTTTTGCGCGCACTGTCTGCATGCATCTGTGTCAGTAAACTACATCTAACTCTGATCAGTGGCTTTATTTGAGTATTTTTTAGTGATGTGAATTACATTTTGCTCATTGTCGGGTAAAAAAAAACAGGATCAATCTAAAACTTTTTCGTCAAAATTTTATCATCAGTTATCTTAAAATAAACAACAATCGTAAACGATGCACAAAAACTATAAAAATTCTTCATTCTCTGCTGTATGCCATTCTGATGAAATTAATCACTATATTTCAAATTTTTAATCAGAATTATATTCTGATTAAAACTTGGCAGTTTAATTTTCCAATAACGTCAAGAAGTGAGACGAATTAACAAAACGCTTCTTGAAGTAAGGCAGGGTTTATGAAATACGGTCAAAAACATTTAATTTTTGATTTTATAAGACTTTTGTGGTAACGTTTTTGATTTTCAAAATTTTTACCTTGCACCAGATTTATACAACTTAAATAATGACATGGAAATCACTATCAAATGCCCAAAATCTGTATACAGTACGGAGTTTTTCCTTTTCTCAGGCAATGCTAAAAAAGTTTATCAAGAAAAACAATCAGATTTGCTAGTATCGAGAAAGACGGTACCGCGACAACTCGCAGCAAAAGACAACTCGTAAGAAAAGACAACTCGCAAAGTTAAGGGAAGCGGCAAGTCGCAAAGTTCGAAAATTATTTTATACGAGATAATTGGCTCTAAATCTGGTATAAAGTCCCACCCTCTAATGGCAAGCTCGCAACCTATTGGCACAACTGCAGCGGTGAGTATAATACGAGTCTTTTATTGCGAATTGTCACACTACGGAGAAAGATTAGTGCGAAAAAAAAACTTTGGTTTAAAAACTTTTTAATTTTCGTCTATTTTCGAGCGAGTAAAGCGATCGAGTAACGTTCATTTTTTATGAAAATTAGCACTTTGGGCAAATAAAAAATCGATTCTACAAAAATAAAAACTAGTTTCAGAAGCCTCATTTAGCGCTTGTCTAGCAAATATTAAAAATTTATACTGTAAAAAAAATTCGCTTTCTTTTGTTTATTTTTTTGAAGACAAATGTAGCCGTATATGTATAGTTCCCTTAATTTCTACGCTTTCATATAGCTCAAACATCACACGAAGCACAAGAAAAGACACTACTTGAGGAAAAACGAAAAAAAATTCTGAGAAGTGTTCGGATTATTTGGTGCTAATTGCACATCCGTCATTCCAATTTATTGCTTGCAGTTTTTGGCATTGGGTTTTGATTCATTTTCGTCATTTGGCTGTATGCTGCTTTAGCTGGTTTGATTTTGTTTAACTCTAGATATTCATGGATGTCTTCTACATAGCTGCTTTGTTTTTCATTTCATTTAAGAGTAGGAGAAATAGTCGTTCATTTTATTTGCAGTTTTCAATATATCTCGCAATGTTTTTGAGATGCTTAATTTATACATAATTTAGCTTTATGCTTTCGAATTTATTACTTGCAAAATTAGCGTGGATGCCTTCAGTTTATTATAGTCCAACTTATAATATGCCAAATTGTGTCTATTTGTATTTGTTGCCACTTCTGCTGCGGGCAGGGCGTGAGACTCCAATTCTCGAGGTGACAGATTCCAATCCGATACAAAGCAAAGTTTTATTAATTCGAGGCTTATTTCTATTTTTTCTTTTTTACCCTTGCGATAAGCAAGGGTATTGCTATAGGCTACTAGACTTTTTTTTCACGTTGTAATTATCTTCAAAGGTTTTAATTTCAGGCTGTAATCATCTTTGCAAGTTTCGGATTGTAATTATTTTTTCAAATAAAACTGGTATGCTTTTAATTGGTTAACGTTTTCAGTTTGTGCTATATCGACTTAGTCATTTTATTTTGCGTACTTTTGAGCTCAAAGAATATCCGTTTGAGATTATGTGTTTCAGTTTGGATGGGTCGTAAGAACTTTAAAACTTTACGAATTTTTTTTGACAAGTTTTGTTTTCGGCTCAACAGGTTTTGATCCACAGTTTGTCGCCTTTGTTGCTGCTCGGCAATTGATGTCCTTTTTAGAGGCTGTTTTTGGACTTCATTTGATACAAATATATGAAGTTTTTGTAACTGTAATTTGTCAACTTTTGTCAAGTGATTTTTTCAAGTTATTTTTCCAACATAATTTTTTAGAAATGTTTTTTGACTTCTGTCTTTTTTTCATTCACTGTTTTGTTGAGCAATGTGTTTGTTTGCATCGCAAGTGTTACGAAGTTTCGCCTCTATGTTCACTTATAAAGCTGCTTTCTTGTCGTGTTCTCGCAATTGTTTGCGAAGCGCAGCTTCTCTTTATAAATGTTGGCTTATCTGTCGCTTTGTAACTTTTGTTTTCAATGTTAACCCATGACAATGATCTTCCTTAGATCGTTCTCCTGCAAATGAATTTAATTCGAGGGAAATCTACTGGTGATTTTGACTTTTGAGGCTTGTTTAGGTTTTTTTTCAAATGATTTTGATTTTCTCGTTTGAAAAAAAAATAAATTTCCAAATTTTTAGACTTTGCAATCTGTTTTCTTATGAATGCGCTCAAAATTAGTACTAGTTTTTCTTTTATTCAATTTCTGTTGTGCTGGCTACTAGACGCAAAACCTGTAAACTTTGTCAAAAATCGCCACTTGATGATCTTGGGGTTTAAAAAAACGAATATGTGGTTTTTCTATAATTTTCACAAGGAAAATTTTGTCGTCAGAGTTTTTAAGAAGAACCCGAGTTCCATAGAAGGACTGATCAAGTTCTGAAAACTGTTCTTTAGAGTTGCCTTTGTTTTAACAAGTTGAGACGGAATTTGAAAAAAATTATATCGCAAGTTTTGCTAAGCTCCGCTTCCCCTCGTAATAATATTTAAAAAAAACTTTCATGTGAAGTTTATACCTACATTTTTTTCAGCAAAGCTTGGTTCTGAACATTTTCGAGAATGTCCGAACGTTGACTAATGAAAATGGAAAACTACTATGCGAGTCACTGATGCGAATGCCAACCAGAAGGTAAGTAACATCTGTTTGATTTGCTTGTGTTTCAAAGATTATAGTTTTTTTAAATTTAATTACCAGAACCAATTAACTATCTTACAGAAATTTATTTAACGCAAGCGAATTAGTTCTAAGAGAATGATCATTCAGGTCCAATCCAGAGTATTACGAGGTAGTGAAAGAACCAATAGACTTGAGCACCATTCAGAAAAATGTAAAGAGTGCAAAGTATTCTACAATGGAGCAGTTTGTCAATGATATGAACCTCATGGTTGAAAACGAGAAACTCTACCACAGGGTTAGTATTCTTCGATTGATAACTTTGAGTATTGAAATAATTGGATGGGCTGCTTTAAAATTTGATTTATTGTTTGGCGTTCCTATTCTAAAAAAAAGTTTTTCCACATCCGGAAAACGTTTAACCAAAAAAATTTTAACCAAAAAATATACTTTACGTCTTGTCCAATTTTGGTCGGCCCCAATACGTTTATTGTGTCATCTAATTATATTTTCAGAGGTCGAGTCAGGAGCATAAAGATGCCTGCGAGTTCTGGAACATGTTTTTATCTGTGAAACACGAGGCTGAAACAATAGAATCTGTCACAAGGGCAAGCGAGGTAAGCTCGTAGCGAACATTTGAGCGAATACTTTAACTGATATACATGGATAAGATTTTACCGCAGTTAATGTCCTTTAGCTTGAATACTTAAAATCATTATCGGCAAGTTCATCATCTATTCTTTATCTATCGTTGGTTTTTACTATGAAAATTCCGAGTAATTTTTCGTCATATTGAAAAGGTGAATATGCACTCAAGTTAATCCAAATGCGTTTATTCATTGTTAACAATTGACAGCTGTTTTACTGTGCAGGTTGACCCTCCGAAAATTCAAACCACCAGTCAAGACGTGACTCCTAAAGCGAGTCCAAGTATCTCCAAACAGCAGGTAGCAGCTGCTGCGTCCATGTCTGGATCAGGAGTGCCTGTCGGTCAAGTGAGCCAAAATCTGTCGAAAGAGGAGCTAAAAATCATAATAGCAAATGTGATGTTCAATTTGCTAAGTGTGCACGAAGACGATAGATACATAGCAGAAATCTTCAAGAGAGTTCCAAGTGCGCAGAGCTACCCTATCTATTATGACGTCATCAAGAACCCAATAGACTTTTGGATGATTTTCAAGAAACTTAAGGTTAGAACGAGGAAATTTCAATAAAAGGCGTCGAGTGTTTATGATGGTAACCTTCAAAATCAAGATGAGAAAAATTAATCATACAAGTAGTGTACATCGCTTTAAAACGAACTAAGAATTAATTCTATTGCCAAATTAAGGGGAAGATTATTGATGCTTGAATTTCGTGACCCGCTAATTTTTAGTTGGCACAAGCAAAGCTTCTGACATTGCATGAGGCTACTCTTTCAAAGTTTAACGTAGTTTTATTGCAGTTTTTATTTCGTGTTTTTGAAATACTTGAGCGATATCAGCGTAACTTAGGGACGGCCATTGTGAGATAGGAGGGTGTGCCTATAATTTGTATTGGTAGAGTGATTTATGCGAGGCGGTTGGATTTGCGGATGAAGCAATCTGTTTCAGGTAGCCCGATGATTTTCTGTGAGATATTCAGAGAAATTTTCAAATCAGCAACAGCTAACTTTTTCGTGCAACTTTTTTTTTTGGCCTGCATTTGGAAATTGAAATAACCTGACAGTTTTGGCTGCAAAATTTTTGGGTCATGCTACGATAGCTATAATACGTTGTGAAAAACGTATGACAGTTGAATATATGCGCAACTTACTAGGTATAGGTTTTTGAAACGCGGAATATTATTTTTAGCTGGAGCAGTATGATTCATTGGCTCAATTCGAGGAAGACGTGACGCTGTTGATTAACAATGCAAAGACATTCAATGAGCCAGGCTCACAGGTGTTCAAAGATGCTCTTACCATCAAGAAATTGGCATCTTCTCTCATTTACAAGTTCCAGATTGAAAAGTAAGTAACTCCTTAAATACTCTTAAATACTTATAAATTATGAGACGGATAGCTGGTTCCTGTGCAAGTAGCACAGATTGTTCCGATCATAGTCTTAAAAAATACAAAAAGTTTTTTTTCCATTTTAGTATTGTTTTTTGAGTGGGGTGATAAAAGGATCTGAACCAAGAATTAGAACTTAAGTATGTTCGACAGTCATAATAAAATAGGCAAATTGGACAACAGTTTTTGCAAAAAGAAATGACTAGAAAAAAATCAGACTAAAAATCAAATATTATACTAAAAATAAAAAATTTTAAACCTGTTTTTCTCACGACTTAAAGGGAAGCACATTAATATGGTATATCACTCAATACATTCCGATGATTTAACTTGTAAAACAAAATTTTTTGTTGTCACTAATTATCCATGCAATTTTAAAAACCTTCTAGGGGCGTCATTGTCTTGAAAGGCGGAATATTTTTTTTAGCTTGAGCAGTATGATTCATCACTGTGTACTAAGGTGTTAGCCTCTGAAATCGAGCTGATGATTTATTTAATTTTATTCAGGGCACCGACAGACGACTTACTGATGCAGAAGATAGAGGCCTTCTTCGAAGAGTATTTGACCTCTTCGGATAGTGAGTCGGCAGATGACAGCGAACTCAACACCAGCTCCGAGACACTCCCGGGTAATCAAAGATTATACTACCATTTTTCTTTTTTTGGGGTCTCATCGTTTCTGGTATCGGTCTATTCGTGTTGTCGAAAAGTTTTTCATAACGTCGTTTTCAGCCAAAAGTGATCATGAGTTTAGTTTTTGTAAATTTACTCCAAATTCGAAAAGCAGTCAAATTCATATGAAGAAAAATTAATGATAGTTTAATACGATTAATGTTCCCTGCCATCTGCATACGTAGGCGAATCAACATTTTACTAGAAAGATGTCTTCACAACAAGAAATTCTAGTTTTTTCGTTTTCTGCATGATTTTTCATAACAGTTGCCAGAATAGTGGCAGTGATATATTGTAATTTTTTCTTACTTTAACGTTGATTTGAGGGACTCATTTTTTCACTAAGGAAGACATTTGCTTAGGAAGGCGGGTAAAAGATTTTACTCATATTATTTTTTCTTCAATGTAGGTAGACAGGCAGAATACGACAGTGTGGTTGAAGACGTGGATGACGAGGAACATGGCATCGGCTGTTCTCCCTATTGGGCTCTGTGGAGCACTGTGATAGCACCTACAAACCCAACCACTGGAGTCAGGCTCTGTAAACAGTTCAAGATACTGCCCAACAAAAAGTAAGTTGAGTGATTCGAAACCATTGAGTTTACGAAACCTTTTTAGCATAATTCTTTCAAATCTATTTGCTACTGTAAGCATACAATCGCTGGATTATTGTAATGATAAAAAGCTGTAGAATGGATTAGCAAGGCGGGCATAATAGAAAAAATTTCTGTTGAACTTTCCAGTTCAGGATTTTCTAGCTGCTTCGTAGTCTGTGACATTTAAACCGATTTGTGTCGGAAAGTGATGCGAAGTTCCTCTCGGCCTTTATGTCGTATTATCTTCATTAGAAAGCTGGTGCTTACAAATCAAAGTGAAATAGCTTAACGTTAGGATGCTCTGAATACTTAATTTCGTCAAACACAGTCAGAGGACAGTCTGCTATTATGAACTGAATCGTGGAAATGATGGTTGTCTACTATCTACTAAGAAAAGCGTTATATAAGCTCCAACATGTCTGGTTTCTGAGTTCAAAAATTTTTTGAAATAGATTATTTAAGAAAAATAATTTTGATGTAGTTGTCGATCAGAAGCTCAATAGCGGCTTTCCGTAATAAGCTAAACAGAATTTATGTTAGTTGTTGTTACTCTTCGTGGATGATCCTTAATATAAATGGTCTTAATTGTGTGTTAGGGTTTACCCGGACTACTACACGGAGATCAAGCGTCCAATGACTCTGATTCGGATCAAGAGTAAGATCAAGAAGAGTCGCTACAGAGACCTCAACCACTGCTTCGATGACTTCAGACTCATGTTCAACAACTGCATGAAATACAACAGGGTCGACTCACAATTATACAGGGTGAGTCACATTCTTCATTAGCATAGCAATTTCTGAATTATTACCTGGGCTTGAAAAAGAAGATGGTAACTGTCGTAAAGTGGCTACTATCTCGGCCTCTTCCGGTCTCGAGATTGCAGGTTCGAGGAACATCATAACTTTTTGCCGGCACAACTTCAGGCATCATAACGGCAAAGACTAGGAGCGCTGAAAATTGCAAAAAAAATGAAACGTCGAAAGGAAGGTGACTTGTCTTTTGACTATAAACAATTTGTTGTAAATATGAAAAAATGGAGAAAATAAATCATTTCTAATAGTTTCTACTTTTCGGTGTTAGTGATTAAAAACACCGAAAATATTTTTATATAGATCTTGGTGATTTTTAAAGAGTCGATGAACGTAGTTTAGACTCTAATAAAGGTCGCGATGATTTTTGACTTTGATTTCTTTTGAGAAGCAGTTCATTTCCTCTAGTGTAAGGAAAACAAACTCCAGTATCGAACAGCGAAAGTGTAAAGGTCACGAAAAACTTAGTCGAATTCTAGTTTTGCAAGTGGAATTTAATTATCAGATTTTCCAGCCAAATAAAAGTTTCACCTACTGATCCTTGGGTTAATATCATCAAAAAAGTCATGCATTAAATTTTTCTAGTAATTCAGAGCTTTCATGTCATCTATTTTTTTTCGGAAAATCGAAAGGTGAAATTTTTTCAAAAAAAATTAAGGTGTGCTTGCGTTCAGTAAATCTTTTCCAACTGTGTCTGTTAACTGTTTTTGTTATTTTGTAAGTTTTGGTCTGGCTCAAAATTAATTTTTTTTGAGTTGACTTTTGATTTTGTCAATTCAGTTCATTTCCTTTTCTTAAAGGAGAGCAAACTCCAATATCGAACAGCGGATGTGTAAAAGCCACGAGAACTGTGATCAACTTCTAGTTTCGAAAGTGGAATTTAATTATCAGAATTCCCAGCAAAACGTTTTTTTACCTACTGATCCAGTTTTTTCAATTTGGGTTAATTTCATCAAAAAAGTGCTAACCAGAAATTTTTCCAGAAATTCAGAGAGCTTCAAGACCATATGTTTTTTTTGTAATCGAAAGTTGAGATTTTTTCAAAAAACAGGTCGGTATTTTTTTTCTGTTTACTTACGTTCATTGACTTTTTTCCTACTGTCTGTTGGCTTTGGTTTTAATTTTAAAATACAAAATGAGGAAATATCCTGGCATTGTTTTGTCCTTGTGTTCAATGATATGTACAGGAAAAATTTTCAGTCAATTAGTTTTTTATTCAAGGACGCGGAGTTCCTGCTTGAAGCCGTGTCACAGAGGAAAGCTGATATAGATCTCAAGGGAATCGACAACGAGGAGTTCGTATCGAACAAGAAAAAACCTGGACGAAAGCCTGGAACTAGATTAGTGCCTCTTGGTCCAGACGGGAACCCATGCCCTGAATTGAAAACAGACTTGGACCAACTGAGAAAACGACTGAGATTGTTGTATAATGTGGTGACAAAGCATACCCAACAAGATGGACGAGAGACGGCAGAGATGTTTGTGCAGTTGCCGAGTAAGGAGAAATACCCAGTGTATTACGAGTACATAAAGAACCCGATTGATTTGAAGATGATTGACAGAAAGATCAGGTGCAACGAGGTAAGTTGGTTGATTTATCTTATTTTTCAGAGGTATCTTCCGGATCTTGTTTAAAACTAGACGTGGGCGGTGAAGTGCTAGCTTTTTGACTCGGTGGTGGCGTCAAAATATTCTGAAACTCTGGGGAAAATCTTAAAAGTTGGTTGTTTAATTGAATTGTTTTCGAAAGCATTCATTTCGATGATGATTTGTACTCTCAAATCTACGACCCCACACAAGGTTCTGTAATTCTGATGCTGTACAAAAACAATCGGCGAATTTCTAGTTTTAGAATTTCAAGAAATGCAAAACCATAAAATCTGGCATTGAAGCAAATAATTGATCTGAATTAAACTCACTGCAGAAAAACTTTACGGTAAACCTAATTTTGTGTTCTTGCTGTTTTGTTCTCGTTAGACGTTATTGATGTTGAACTATCTTATAGTTAATCTGGGCAAGAAATTTAAGAGACTTTCAAATGACAGCGAAGGATTTTTTGAGCAAGGCAAACTGTAGCATCCCAAGTTTTCGGGTTTTGCGAGGAAATGGGGGGCAAAATAGTGTAAAAATAAGGCAGAATTATTGTAGAATTAGCTTTGAATATCGGAACCTAATTATGTTTTTAAAGAATTGATATATTTTGTAGTTTTTTGAATTGGTTAGAAGCGGTAAGTGAAATGTTGGTAATGTAAAACGTTAGAAATAGTACCGATGCCTTTAAAAGTGAATTTTTAATCTAAAAGGTAAATATGCTTTTAAAATTAATCCTACTTAAATTTGATCCTGTGAAATTGAATTTTAAGAAAAAGACAGTGTTATTATTTTTAGTACAATTCGGAGGAGGAGTTTATGGAAGACTTCCACCTGATGTTCTGCAACGCCAGGGAGTTCAATGAGGAGGGGTCCCAGATATACAATGATGCTAACAAGCTGGAGGAGATGCTGAAGGAGAAGCGGGCCTCATACACTCCACTAGGTTAGTGTCTACACTCAGAAGACTTGAAGGCAACAGGTTCCAGATATTATAATTTGAATTTTGTCATCTTGGTTTCTTGACTGATTTTTTTTTCGCATAGTCGAGATCGCAAGTTTTCATTTTTAATTTAATCGGTGAAAGTTAGTGACGGTGACCTATCGTTACGATTACATGAAAAATCTCATAGCGCGCCTGTTTTTTTTTACGGGGCCATGTATATTTTTCTTTTTTTTTGTTCCGGTCGAGCTCTGCGAAGTACGTAATGCGAGTATTCTGAAGATATGAAAGAAGGAGATTTTGATAATGATTGAAAAAGTTAGCACTGCTTTTTTGTTGAAAAGATAGGAGAATCTCGACGTGTTTTGATATTTGAGGTTTTGATATAATTGGTAGATGTTATTTTGAAAACTTGATCAAGCTTTGTTTAAATTAGAGATCAAAGAAGAACTTTTGTCACCAAGGCCAAAAATGAGATACTTAGCCAAAAAGCAAGACGGGAACGAAGTCATAATCAAGGCCGAGTCAAAGGCACCTTTGCTTTTCAAGAAAACAGTTCAATCTCAAGCCAGATGTAAATTTTCAGCCAAGAAGCGCATCAATTTTGGAATGGCCTCTGTACGTCCAGGTTATGGACCAGGATCTAGCTCCAACGCGGATCCGAATCACTCGTTCAGCTCTCCGAACCCGCATCAATCCATGTCGAGTTCCGATTTCATGTCTAACCGAGCACCCTTGAGCCCGATTGTGAATTCTGGTCCGAATTCGGACTGTCCGACTTTGGTGTTACCAAGTCCTTCGATGTTCAACCAGAACAGCAATGCTTCGAATTCGTCACTGGCGACACCTAATCAAAACACAGGAGTCACTCAAAGCATTCACGATATAGCAAGTCCAGCTATCGTTCAAACAAGCAATATGACTTCAAATGCAGCGTCGGCTGTTAACGCTGTTGTTGCAACAACCGTTGATAAAATAGCGTTTTCAAACCCAATGCAGCGAAAGTTGTTCACGCTTTACGAGGCAGTGAAGATGAAAAGATCGCCGCGTACGGGACGAGAACTCTACGAACCTTTTTACAGGTTGCCGACTAGAAATGACATGCCGGAGTACTACAAAATAATCACTAAGCCGATTGATATGCAGAAAATATACCAGAAAATGGCGAGCAATGGTTATGAAGATTTGAATGAGTTAGTTGATGATTTTGTGTTAATGTTCAATAATGCGTGTAGATTCAACGAACCAGGATCTAGGATTTATAAAGATGCGATATTGTTGATGAGAGTTTTGATTGAGAAGAAAAATGAGTTGACTTCGGATGGAAGTTGCACGAACGACAACTCGAAAGTACCGAATGTCTCAGAGCTGGTGAATATGATGCTGCAGCGCATCTTCCTCTTCACTGTAAATAAAGAGGTAAGTTTCTAACCAATTTATTCAGGTAGTTTATTATTCATTAGTAAAAACAAATTATGTTGATTATTAAAATGATTGTTGATTTCATAAGTAAAAACAAATTATGGCAATTTTGATTAGAATTTATGATATTGCTTGATGGATTCAATTTTGGTTTTCATGCCGTCTGAATGGTATGTTATAAAAATTAATTCAAAAAATCTCAAATTGCCTGATTGAAATTACATTTGTTGGAATAACCTAAAAATATATAATAAAATATGTTACTGTTTTTTTTCAGGACGAGGACGGACGCTGTTACAGTGACAGCCTCTACCCAATAGTTTTCAATAGAGCATCTCAAGGCCTGCCTCCCTTAAGTCTGGACATAATCTCCCGCAACTTGGACGCTCTGGTCTACAAACGTCTGGACCACTTGCAGAGCGACCTTTTTGCTCTATTGTACCATATTCGAAATATAACTGCGGTCGATTCTGAGGCGTTTGAAGATTCGTTGGAGATGCAACTGTTCTTCATGAGGAAACGAGACGAAATGACAAAGGGAGGCGAAGTGTTGTTCTCGCCGGCATTGCACGTTGGCAGTCGCCAGATTGAGAAAGAGACTGAAGAACAGAGAAGAAGTCAGCCGCGACCAGCTATGCCCCCCGATTGTAACTTCATCCAGATCAACAAAATGGTCAGTAAATTGGCAAAATAAAATTAGATTTAGATCATCAGACGCAAAATGAAAGCCACACAAGGATGAATAAAATGTTTTTCGACGCTAAGTTTGTTAAGAGTAATAAACGCAGTGAAGACTTATATAGGTCTTTGTGATTTTTTCAGGTTTTATTTTTTCATACATTAATGCATTGATGAATGCAATTCGGTATATATGCACTTTTTGAGTTCAATTGAAATTCATCTGCTGAAACTTACGTAAATAGCACTCTCCAAATACGAACCTGGACATAGCGCGAAAAAACATGAACTATTTCTAGTTTCGAAAGTGGAATTTAGTTCTTAGATTTCCAGCTGAATAAAAACTTTACCTATTCATCGATCCAGTTTTCTCAAGTTGGGTTTATGTTATCAAATAACGCCTATCATAAATTGAAAGAGCATCTATTTTTCTTTGAAATTCGAAATCATTCAACGAAGTCATTGTTTTTTTTTCTGTTTACTTGCATTCATAACTCTTTTTTAACTGTCAGTTGGCTATGTTTTTGATCTCCGGTGAAGGTTAATTTATGTCCCAGTGTCATATTTGGTTTTTGAATAAGATGAGCCTTATCTTTTTTCCTTTTTTTTCAGTCGATGAGCAATTACCAAGTTCCCGAAAACCAAGACGTCTCCGTGCCTGTAGCCGTTCCCGGAAGATATATTTTCATTACACCCACTCCAAACCGGGCATCAGTTGACACAGCTTCTGTGAAACGTCATATTCTGTACGTCAAGGAAATACAAGAAAACTATGTATCAGGCGAACTTTTCCTCTTCCCAGAACAAGTTGAGTCATTCCCAGGTCGGAAGTTTTTGGCCCGTGAGGTCCTGCACTACACGACTCCTGGTGGATACCCGTACACGGTATCGGTTTCCACGGCTTCGATAATCGGACCACAATGTCACGTGATGCACGTGAAAGATTTCATGCGTTTTTCTGTAGCAAAGCTAGATGAAAATTGTGTGTTTGTCTGTGAGAGCCAGTTTAGAGCGAATAATCCAAGTGATGCAATAAATATAATGAGTCAGCAGAATTCGAATGAACTTCACAGGGGAATCATATGCAAGTTGAAGGTAAGCTCTAGCTTTAAGTAGCTGTAAGTTGAATCTTTCACGATACAGCTTTAATGAAGATTTATTTTTAAAAAATGGAAATTGGAAATTTCTTTAAAAATGACTGCATTATAATTTTTGCTCGTGCAGTTTTGGTAATTTTTACCTTTGCGATTAGCAAGAGTATTACAATCGGGTACTGGACTTTTTTTCCCGTAAACAACTTTGTCCACAGGATCTTCACTTCTTCTCGAGGATCTTCACTTCTACAGGATCTTCCAAATTTAAATGAAAGTTATGTCACTTAAGTAGTAATTAGTTCAAGCCCATCTCAGGTTATTATCTTATCAAAAAATGTTTTCATTTTTTTCGGGTTCGTAGTTTTTGTCTTAGTTTCTGCCCGTTCATTTTCCGTTTTTTTTAAACGCCATTTTTTTTATGGCAGGGTTTTTATTGCTTTACTTTTTTCACAAGCATAGCTTGTGTTATAGTCTGGAGTTTCTTTTTTTCCAACCTAAATCGCAAATTTTGATTCGATGCAATGGTTGCGTCAAAATGTGTTCATTTTGAAAGTGTTCTTTTTGATCCAGCTATTAAGTACAGCCAATGCTAAGGATATTAACACAGACTATTATATTACAAGTAGCACTTTAGCTTCAAGGTATCATGGATTTGTAGCGTAGAGGTAAGAAAGGAGACCAGCAGCCAAATAAGAGGGTTAGAACCTGGGCAGGGTCGGATGTTTTAATGAACTTTTTCGTATACTAGTTAAAATGCGTCCGCTCTATAAATTGAGGCATGTTAGTTGTTTTTTTTTAAAATTGACTGGTACTTCTAATGCGTCATAAATGGCTTTCGTCACTTAGCAACTTTATAGACTCATAGTTGGCAAGCGTCACTTCAGAAGTTTTTTATGGTCAAAGTTTTACTCATTCGGTTTTTCCCACTAGCTTTATCGGTCTTATTTTTGCTTGTGTATGCGAAGTGCAACTTCGCCTCTGTGTTAAAGCATGGCTTTTGTTCGAATTTAAACAGTTTTTACTATAACTGAATTTCACAAATTTGTTAATTTACTGTCTGATTTTGAGTTTTTAATTTTTTTTTTTCGTTTTTTTTTATTATTCAAGCTGTTTCAGTTTGTTATATCGACTCGGTCAATTTATTTTTTGCGTAATTTTGATGGCAATATATATCCGTTTGGGTTTATGCGTTTCAGTTGGATGGGTCATAAACACTTAATTTTTATAAAATTTTTTATGTTAACACATTTATTTTCGGCTCAACAGGTTTCGACCCAAAGTTTTCCGCCTTAGTTGCCGCTCGGTAAATGCTTTCTTCTTTTTAAGAGCTTTTTTTAAAAAAAACATGAACTTTTTGTTGCGGTAGTTTTTCAACTTTTGTCAAGTTATTTTTTCAAGTAATTCTTTCCAACATAATTTTTCATTCACTATTTTGAACTGCAATGTGTGATTTCCATCGCAAGTTTTGAAATTTACTTTAAGCGCTGCGGAGAAATCCAATTTCTGTTGCCCTCTTTCTATGAAATTGAAACTTTTCTAAAACGCATGTAGCTACTGTTCCCAGGCCTTCCCTATCAGTTTTTAGCGAAAACGAATCTTATATTTCTAAAAGGACTCATTGTGTTAACATTGTTTAGTCTTGGGGATTGGACAGCCACCCTAGCATTTCTCTGGTGAAGAGGGAGTTCAAGATCAACCGAGTGGACAGGAAGTTCCTAAAAGAGAGGATTGCTGAGGACCAATCCACCATGTCGGACACTGCACTCTACTGTCAACAGTTCTCTGTCAGCCAACATTCTTTTTTTTCTATTTTTTGCATTGCTTTATCCAAAATGCCATTCTAATTATAACTTTCATCCATTCAATTGTTTGCTAAAGTAAAAAAGGTTTAAAATTGACACGTTTGAAGCTTCAGTATATATGTTTGAAACAATAATTTCGGAATAGCCAATATAGTAATTTCGGATGTTTTGTCAAAAGGTCACTTATATCAAACTAACTGGTACTGAACAATTAAGAGCTATGACCACTACTTTTCGTTGAGCTGGAATTACATAAGTTTAAACGCCTGAGGATTTCAGGACTTGTTTGAATGCATTCATTCTCTGAAAAAAGGAGGACCAATGTTGTCAAAGTTCAACAGAAAGGTATCTCTCTCAAGCCTTTTTCAGCGTTATGTTTTCTCTCGATTGGGCGACAATATCTATCAAAAATTGTCTGTTGATCTGTTTCGTGCAATAAATGTTTGATATGATTTGAGTGTTCAAATTGAAGTATATAAAAAACGCTTTTTGAATTGATCTGACTGGTAAATTATTGCTATAGATTTCAGTTTGTCAATTTAATAAATTAGTATTTTGAGTATATTCAATCTAAAATAGATTTTTCAGGCTCTCGTATCCAATCAAGCACCGTCTGACCAACCCGATGGTGAAAAATTGACTTTCTACGAACAATGCGTTGTAAACAACAAAGTATACAGACTTGGAGACGGTATTGTTTTGCCCCTAGAATCTTTACCCGATCAAGGCAAAAATTTTAAGCCTGAAATCAAGTCTGAAAGCTGTGACTATGAGGAAATGGCGACTGATAATGAAGTGAAAGGGCAGGAGAGTTCAACTGGAGGTCAAGGGTCAAGTGGGGACATTGACCAGGAGGTGGATGAATATGTGAAATCGAAGCTGATGAATAAAGACGATGAGGGGAAGGATGAAGTTGAGACTATTAAGCCAACAAAGTCGATGCGAAGAATTGAAAAGCTGTGGAAAGACAGAGAGTGAGTTAATATCTAATGAACAAGTCTTTTAACATACAAGTCAGCAGTTTGATGCCGGCACATAGCAAAAGTTTGTTTTTTCAAGGCTTATTAGCCTTCTGTTTCCTTATTTCATTTAAAAACCTTTTTAGAACTTCTTTTTGCTGTTTTCTCGCTTTTGTTTGCTAAGTAGAGCTTTGCCTCTGTGCTTACTTTTGGGGAATAGTTAAAACTGTGTTGTTTCAGTGGTGTAGTGTGGTTCTCGGGGTCGTGGTATCTGATGCCCTGTCAAGTGGAACACGAACCCACCAGGATGTTCTACAAGAACGAACTCATAGTCGCAGAGACTAGTCCCCATAACGAGACTGCGTTAGCCGAGTTCAGCCAGCCTACTAGATTGGACCAGTCGCTGGGAACTTTCACCGTCATGATTCTGAGAGAGTATACCGTTTGTAAGTATAAACTATAAACAAGGATAGCTAGTTCATGTGCAAGTAGCTTACAATGTTCCGACGATGCAAAATTTTCAAAAAAGTTGATATAATTTTTTCTCAAAAATAACCTTTTTTCTGGGTATTTTTTTTTACAAATGATCTCAGAGAAGGTGCTTTAGCGTAAATAGGTTCAAACAGCTGTACAATTAGGCTGGGCGCGACTCTTATCATCCTAAGCGATACTTAAATAGCATTAATATAACACCACTCTCGGTACCATAAGAGTGATTTTAGCTACCTGATTTTGAATTAGAAACAGTCTTGTGGTTCACAATCATTGCATCGAACTTCTGGATGAGAACCACTCCGCATTCGAATGATCAATTTATCTGTGTGGAAAGTACAACTTCGCTTCTATTTGAAAAATATTTTCGACCATTTTAGGTCGACCGACTGAATATGCGGAAAACGACGTGTTTGTGTGTGACAACAAATACTTTCCAGATGAGAAGATCATCACTAAACTGAAAAAAGGGCTGCGAGTAAGTCGACAATTATCGAATTTTTCAGAGCTTATTATTAAGGGGGGGGGGGTTGTTGTTAAAATAATCCTACTGTTTCTCATGGAGACATTTTTGTCTTAAAAATATAACCATGGCTACAATTATTAAGTTTTCGTTGCTACTGGGATTAAAATATCATATTCGTTTGATAATATTATGAGCTTTTCATTTTCGGATCCAATAACTAAAGATTTTGCTCTAAAAGTTTTGACCAAAAGATGAAATGTCATTAAAAACGAGCCCTTATAAATCTGGAAAAAGTGTTCATCAGCTGCGCGACTGCTCGAACGATGCACTCGATTAAGAAAACTCTGAAGTTGATAAGCATAAAAATTGTGACGATTTGATTTTGTTGCAGATGCCTATAGTGTCGAAGAAACTGCACCTGGACGAGGTATACAACTTCAAGAAGCCCATCACGGTGGGCAAAGAGGCCTCTCCCTTCCTCTTCACAGGAGACATAGAAATGGACGACATAGTCATAGACCCAAGTGCGATGGATACTATGGGTGAGAATGCCTATAAAAGATAAAGTTAATTGCTGTCCGATAATTCCTTTTTTTGCGTTTTTTGAAGCGAACGTCTGAGTGACTTCTTTAGCAACTTTTGATTATGATGGAGTTATCATTTTGATAGTGAGTCACTTCAACAATTTTATTGACTTTAATGAACCTTCTAACTTCTATTTTAAATACCTTTTCATTTGACTTTGAAAATGTATGTGAACATGTTTCCATTACAAAGTGTTTAAAAACGCGAGTTTTGTATTTGTGATTTCAAAGATTGCCATTCATTTCTTGTGAGAATTCGATTCAGTTTCATAAAGAGTACCAATTTGACCAATTGTTTAGGTGTTGCCAATCAGTTCCCAAATGAAGCATCGACTGGGGGAGAAGATGATTTGACTACCACTGGTAGTGTAGGCGTGGTGGGTGGAGCAAATGGTGCAAACAACGGAGGCAGTGGGCGAAAGGGGACAAAGGTAGGAATTGCAAGTATATCGAAATGTTCTCCTAAATGAAGTTGGTGAATTGTGACGTTCGAGGAGCTTCGTAAAACTTAATTACTTACTTTATTTATATAAATCGAGAAGCTTCGTAAGACTTAATGGCCAACTTAATTTATATAAAGTGAAGTACGCTTGTCCTGACAGTTTTGGAATCACGTGACCTCTGAAAAAGTACTGCAAAATTGTAAGTATTTTACAGCTAATTTAGTCTGTTTAGCGAAAATACACCAGGAGGGTAATGTTGAAAGAGAAAGTACGTTGTTGCAGTTGATTCAGTTTTAAATTTATGACACTTGCGATGGCAAGAGTATTGCAACCGGCTACTAGACCATTTTCCCGTAAATATTTTCCTACACATGACTCACCAATCTCATAATATGTCTGTTGAGTTGAAGCAACAGACAAATTTTACCATGCTAGCATTTTAGATATCCGTCTTCTCTAAAATTTTTATGTTGGCTGTAATTTTACCAATTCGACTTTTTCAAGTTTCATTTTTTCGGCTTGATATGTTCGATGACCAAAAAATTGTTTGTGTGAGTGTGTGGGTGTTTTGAGGGGGAGTGAAGTGTGATTCAGTCATTTTTTAAGTTTTGTCTTTTTGAGTTTTTCTGGCTCAAACGGTTTCTGCTCAGGAACTTTCAGCCTTTTTTACCACTTGGTAATTTTTCTGCCGATTTTCTAGTTTTTTCGGAAGACTATTTTTTTAGAAATTTTTCTATTTTTTCGACTGTATCGCAAGTGAAGCGAAGCTCCGCTGCGCTTCTGTAATTATGCCGGCTGAAAAAAAAACGACTCAAGATTACTTGTGTTGGTTTTGTTTTATTTAGACCATACTGATGCCTAAAGATAGGAAGGCCAGTGGCTACATAGCCTTTGCTAGCATCATGAGGCCCAAGTTGAAGGAGATGAAACCAAATCTGGAGTTTGGAGAACTGAGTCGAGAAGTTGGAAGCAGAGTTAGTATGTTTTTCACCTTCGTTTGATTTTCTATTTGTTTTTTCCCACGTGTTGCGTCCTCAATTTTGGACAGCGCCCTGCAACCCTTATGGTTACGTCGTCAGTTGTCTTCTCTGAGCTGCTCATACTTTATATTACTGATTTCATGTTTTATAATGAGTAGATTAAACAAGAAATTACTTCATTTCCTAGTTTCACAGAGACGCACATGAGTTCAATACTCAAAAATTATTAATAGTTTGATTAATGTGGCCTTTCAATCGAATCTGGGTGTGCAAAAGATTTTCGTTCGAGAGTTTTTCAACCCGATTATCAAATTTTTTCTAATTGTTTGAAGCAGGCCGACAATTCACTGGCGCCGCAGTCAAATTTTCTTGGGGGAAAACCATGTCACCCCTTCAAACAGTCTTTGACGCCCCAACTTCTTCGTTTTGAACATTATGCTCCCCAAATCGGCCACTGACTTGAATTAATTTTTGTTGTTGTTCTATAGGAGACCAAGAAGCTTCAGCTCTTTCGCATAGTGAGATTTCTACGTTTGGTTGTGTTTAAAGATTCAATACCATCTTTTGATAACTTACTTTATTAAGAGTCGTTGAACGTAGTAAAAACTTTTATATAGATCGATACGATTTTTTTGCTCGGAAAAATCTGTTCACGCTGAAATTTGATTTTTGTTAGTTTGACTTCGCGGAAGGCAAACTCCACTTCACGAACAGCAAAAGTGTAACCGTCAAAAAACATAATCGACTTCTATTGACTCGCGTTTTATGACTCGTTTTCAGCTGTTTGTTGTCTGTTATATTTTTTGTAATTTAAAATTGATTCTATAACTTGCAACACCCAATTGTTGCATCTCCGTTGAATTTAACAAGGCGGCGCCAACTTGTGTGAAAAACAACCATAAGCTGATTGTTTTTCTACTATATTGATCTCAATGTCTTGCGTTGCAGTGGAACGATCTATCAGCTGAAGAAAAAGATCTCTGGCACAAGAAAGCCGAAGAGAAAGCCAGCACTCAGACGCCCAGAGCGGCCGAGCCCTGTGTTGGGTATGAGAACTCGACTCCGGTTGTGGTGTACGAGTGTTGTTGGGAGGGGTGTGACTTCATGTTCGAAGATGAGGCTGACATGTTCACGCATCTGATCAAGGATGAAACTACGCATATTAATGGAGCTACTAATGGTTAGTATTGGTGGAACGAACTCCTTGTGTTCTACTTCATGACAAAAAAGTGAATCAAGTGAAACACTTGCAATTGAGGTTTTATCTGCATATTTTTTTTAGAAATGATGTGTTCTGTTTAGAGAATGGATTCTACAAATGCCTGTGGGGTCCCTGCTACAAGGGCAGAAAAAATTCCAAGTAAGTTTCAATTTGGATCAAAGATCTCGACTGCTATTTTTTTATTCATGGTCTTTATTACACTTGCGAAGCAAAGTGTTTTTTTTTTTGGTATGAACTTTCTTTTTTCCAACCAAAGTCGCAAATAAAAATGCTACTTTTGGTGGCTTTTTTTTGGTAGTAGTGTAATGTCATATATGACATTTGGTTAGTAAAAAGTTAACACCGTTGATGCATGTTTATTTCATCAAATGAACCGAAAAAAGTTATTTGTTTCAAACAGCAGTACAATGATAAAAAGCTCGATTTCAGAAACTTTCCATCTCAATCTATCTCGCAATGTATATATAATTTGGCTTTATGATTTCCAATTTATTACATGCAAAATTGTCTTTTTTTGTATTTGATGCTATTTTTGCTGCATCGAATTGGCATTTCATTAGCATATGTAGCTGCTTTATTGATGTCAAGTTTTGGTGCGTATGCATAGGTCCCAATATGAGAAATCAGTTCTATAGGTCCCAAAAAAAGCTGTCGCATAAGTCCCAAATCTTTTCAATTGGTTAAAAGTCTAAATTGGTTAAGAGTCTCGGTTTAAGGTCGCCGGTGGGCGCCCTACGCGCGCGTTGCCGCTTCGCGGTGATAACCGGCTCTAAATTTCGTATAGAGTCCTACCCTCTGTTGGCAAGCTTGCAAGACGTTGGCGGGGCTGAGGTGGTCACTATTTTGCTGCTTGAGTTTATGCTTCTTAAACAATCAATCCATAAATTCGTTGGCTCAAGTTTCAACCAATCAGAATTCACGAAATAAGGTTTTGGAACTTATGCGACAGATTTTTTATTTTGGGAGCTATGAATATTGGAATCTATGGGAGGTCGCCCTAGTTTTTGGTGATTTTAAGCATCCGTGACCTAGGTCGCAGATCCGAATCCGAAACGTTGTGGAGTTTTTGCTAACTCGAGGCCTATTTCTACTTTTTTTATTTCACTTGATAGATCTGCTTTTTGGTCGTGTTCTCGCAAGTGTTTGCGAAGCGCAGCTTCGCCTCTGTGTTTATACCTGCTCTTGTAAGTACGCATAAATCTGTTGATCAAGTGTCAATGGATGGTATAACGTTTATCTGAAAAAAAGATTAATTTTATACTGTCCCTTGACGCTTGATCAAAAGATTTATGCGTACCTGCAAGAGCCGGTGTAAACACAGAGGCGAAGCTGCCTTCTATTCAGTTTATCTTTTGAAACCTGAACTAACTGTATCGTGGGATGTTCATTTACCTCTAAACTAACTCTATTTGAGAGTTGATCAACTTTTTTCCAACGTGACTGTTGGTTATGTTTCGATATATATTGCAGAGTATTTCCCAATGCGAACCGACTTGGTCGTCACCTTCGCGAGTGCCACTTCAAGTACGCAGCCCGCTACATCTACCCGCCTCAAATCTCCCGCCACTTCGTCAGCAAAGGCATGTTGCACCACTTCCAGCAAAACAACCCAGTACCAGCTGCTCCAGGCTCCAACGCTTCTGCAGATAACCCATCGGTTGCTGTACCCACATGGAGTCAGAGCGAGGTGGTAGGGGGAATAATTCCGACCCCACAGCCCTTCAGAAACCTGGCTTGCGACGTCAACCATACGTGGAATGTAGTTCATGTGCAAAACCCATATGCGCAGCAGGAGACTGTACAACAGTCCGCATCCAATCCAGGTAGCTAGTTGGAGTTTTGAGAAACCAAAAGCAGCCGCGTGAGTCGGATTTTTTTAAAATGACAATGGGGTTAAGCAACTTGGCCTGAGGCTTTTTATCTTTAACAAGTTTGAGGCTTTTTGTCTTTAAACCTGGAAGGTTTTGCCTGAAAATAATTTTTTTTTCTTAGATTTTCTTCAGCAATTTAACTATCTTTATTCAACAATGAAAACTGGATCGACTGTGTGGTTTAGGAAATATGCCTCCAGGAGCATCCCAACAGATTTCAACTTACAGTCAAAGTGTCAACGCAGTCTTGTATGAGGGTCCTTTCTCTCCGGGTCAGAGAGGAGCGCTGCAGAGTCAACCCTCGCAGTCTTCTGCTGCGCATGTCGATGCTGCTATGAATAATGCCATCCAACAGCATCCTGCAACTCCCGCCAGAGTTCAAGGCCAAATAGTGGCTGTTCCTCAAGGTCAACAAACAACTCCAGTCCGCCCGAATTTTAGCAAGTCAGTGCAAAATGGTAGCACGCCTAATGGAGTTGTGCAAAGTGTGCCTCCAAACATGCAGGGACAGTTCTCGAATGGAGTTCCCAATCAAGGGCAGCATATGCAACAAAGAAGTTCAGGAGTCCATGGAGATGCAAATGGACATGGGCAACAGGGTCCACAAGTGCCTCCTGTTCAACCAGCACATGTTCCGGACCATCTGATGCCTCCGACGCCACAAGTGGTTCCAAATCCATACAGACCGGGATCATTCGAAGCAAATGGTAGGCAACGTTGTTTTTGTTGGCTGTGTCATTTCGATGTTTCAGAAATTTGTTCATTATATGAGTAAAGTAGTCATAAAGTGAGTGGAAAAAGCAGTTGATAACCAATAATTTAATTGATTCGATTATTTTCTGATTGGGTTTTTAAAATATAGCTGCACTGAGTCCTAAGCATGTACCATGTACCCGTCTGACTGAATGATACCAGGAGAAGAAAAATCCTGTGTTTTATTAAAGCTTATCTGCTCAAATATCATTTTACGGAACAATGATGTCTGTGAACTAGTAGCCGATATTACGTAGTTATTTTGTTTTCAGTGTACAATCACATGTCGACTGGACCCCTCAACCCACCGCCGCCTCCAAATGTGTTCACGGCTGATGGGAAGCCTATGTTTTCGATGCCTCCTCTTAAGCGAACGCCTCTGACTCACTCGAAAGTGTACCTTGAGTAAGTATATCGTAACTGGATAATTAGTATTGTAATCATCCACTCATAGCTCCCACAATGTATATTGAGAACTGGACAGGCTTAAGGCAAAATATTGGAAGATACATGTAATTAACCGTCTGTAACGTATCTGTAACTTATTACACTTTTTTGCCTGTTTAGAGCTCTTTTTCCTCGCTTGTGCTTGCAAAGCGCAGCTCACCTCTGTTTCAAAAAAGTGTCAATCATAAATTTTGTTTGAAATTCAAAAGGTTTTAAGGCAGTATAATTTTTTCTCGGAAATTCGAAACTTTTAAAGATTAACATGTGTCTTGATGATTTTTTTGGCTTTTTTTAAATTTGTTCAGTCTTTATTTTGATTATTCGCGGTTTGAACTTTTGTTTTCTTTCTAGTTCAGTTCACTTCTTTTGTTAAAAAGAAGGCAAACTCCACTATCGAACAGCAAAAGTGTAAAAGTCACCAAGAACGTGATGGGCTTCTAATTTCGAAAATGGAAATTAACTATCAGATTTCCCAGCGAAATAAATGGTTTTACCTATTGATCTGGTTTTCTGAAATTGGTTTAACTTTATCAAAAAAGTGTCAATCAAAAAACTTTTCTACAAGCTCAAATTTTCAGCTGTTCTATAAACTCAAAGAGCTTTAAAGCCATCTATTTTTTTCAAAATTCAAAAATTGAAGGTTTTTCTACAAAACAAGACAGTTTTTTCAGTTTCCTTGCGTTCATTAGTCTTTTCCAACTGTCAGTTGGCTATGTTTTTCTAAACACCACAGACCAAAATGTGGACGAGCTTGCGCATGTTTCTAGTCAGTTTTTAATTTTGGGTTTTTCAAGGGGGCATCTGAGGGAGGCAGCGCAGCTGGTGGCAGTGCAGCGGGAGGAATTTCGAAGGTGGAATTTAATTTTCAGATTTCCCAGCGAAATTAAAAAAATATACCGATTAATCCAGTTTTCTCAAATTGGGTCAGTTTTATGGAACAGTGCCCATCACAAATTGTTCTAGAAATTCGAAGAGTTTCAAGATCATCTGTGTTTTTTTTTTTTTTGAAATTCGAAAGTTCTGTTTTTTTTTCTGTTTAATTGCGTTCATTGACTCCTTTCCAACTTTCTGTTGGCTATGTTTTTCTAATGTCTTGTTGGAGTTTAGCTAGCATTTTCGGGGCTTATAGAAAATGCATCTATGAGAATTTAGATATACTTTTAGTACACGCTCTTTATGTTTTTCTTGTGGTTGTCTGGTAATTTTAGATCATGGTAATAAGAACAACTTCATTTCTGCTCTTTTAGCTACATAAAGAATCTTCCCAACAAGCACGTGACTGATCTGAAGAAGACACTGGCTCCCGCGGAGGAGAGACCGAGTATCCCGAAGCACGCAGCCGCAGCCACCGCCTCGAACATGTTCAGAAGTGGCACTAAGATGCCCAATGTAACCAAGGCTCTGTGGGCGCTGAGAGACTACATGTTGATGGACAGTGTTTCCATTGCTAATTACAACAGACTGTGAGTTTTTTCTCAAGTTTTTAGTTCTTCCGTTAAAATGTATTAGTCAAACAAAAAGTCGGAAACAAATTAATCATAACGTCCGAAAACTGAAATCCTCTTAGGAGGACTGAGACGTTGTTGCAGTTAGTTCTTGGGGAGTTTTGATATTATGTTGAGACAACTAAATATAAATAATTTGTTTCAGCCCTTAATGTAAGATAGGTTGCAGAATAAGTGTACGTGTACGTTTGTTTTAGTCCTGATCTTGACGTCGATGTCAACGAGTTCTTTTCAAGAAGTGCGGAAGGAAATGGACGAGAACTTTCTGCACATGACTTCTGATCCCACGGACTCATTACAGATTACTATTTAGATCTCTTCTCATAAGCATGTCTTGTTAACTTTGCATATGCAACTATTTAAACTTGTTCTTTGCATTCAATAATTTTGTAGCTGTCGTTAAATTATCAAATCTTTCTAGTTGTTAAAGTGTGGTTAAACCTGAAAAAGGTTCAAGGGTTGGTGTTAAATGAATGAACTTGCTACTGTTCTTGTTGTTCTAAAGTTGCTGACTGAATTCATACCGATATCTTTCTCTTTATAGTTTTCTGAAAGATGAGTTAAGATCGAAAAAAGTGCAAGCTAGATAACACAATGCATCTCACTTCCTTTTTTTTGTATTTTTTCTTCAGATTCTTATTTACACCCGCGAGCTTTCGAGAGCGTAATGTTATAGTACGACTAATCTTTTTTTCCCAACCGAAGTCAAACATTGGTGCCACTTTTGGGGCACCTTTGCGGTATTTGGTAGCATGTGTTTTGACATTCGATAAGTAATAAGTTAACACAGTTGATGCATTTTTGCTTCATCGGATTAAACAGAAAAGCTATTTGTTTTCCTACTCAATTTATCTGGCATTTTTTTGAAATGCATATTTTAATTATAATTTGGTTCAGGGTTGGCATGTTATTTAACATTGTTATTTAACATTGAATTTAACTTACAGTGTTATTTACAATTTCTAACAGTGATGTTAGCTATTTCTTAGAAATATGAGTAATTCTTAGAAAAACACAACGCCATGCTTGTTGCGAAACGATTGTAGCGAGTCTCGAACGGATGAAAAAAAATTTCAAACCAATTGCAGTTTCATTTGACAAACTACAGAGCGAAAAATCTCACCTGACGTATGGGAAGCTTCGTGCTCAACTCGGCGTTGAGAAAGCCGGAAAGTTGGCGTTTCTGTTCAACAAACTCAACTCTTGTTGATATGTTAATTTAATTAACAATTTAACAAAAATAACATGTTTTTTTTTCGATAAATAACAGTTAGTTTGTTATTTTTGTTTTTAACTTACATTTTGCCAACCCTGATTTGGTTTCATGTTTTACAATTTATTACACGCAAAATATTTGTCTTTATATCTGGTGCCACTTTTGCTGCATAGCTTTGGCAATTTCATAGCATAGATAGCTACTTCATATATGGCTTGTGTTTACGCAAGCGAAGCGTAGTGTAGTATTAAAAAGATTTGTCTTCTAACCTTAGTCCGAATTAAAGGTGCTCATTTGGTGGCACTTTTGGTATATTTCAATGTTATCTTATTTAAGCATAAACGGTTTAAAGACATAAGTTGCTACGTGGTTATTGGCTAGTGTTAGGTCCTGTTTGAAACATAAAAATATGAAAATGTATGGGATTTGCTGTTTTCCGTTTTCAACGCTTTGGAAATTTTTTTTGCACTTTCGTCAGAAATTTCAATTTTTCTCAGAAACTACTGAACAAATGTTCAAAAGAATGGTATCAATAGAAAAACCGGGTGCTCTTCTATGTGCTTGCATATTTCGCTAGTCTCTTTTCATTTTACCTAACGGACTTCAGTACGGGGATTTTTGCCCCACTTGTTTTGAGTTTTTTTGCACAAAGTATAGTAAATTCACAAATCAGAAGGTTTCAATCAAAATAAAAAAATTATGGGATATCCCTTTCTCAAGCGGCTATTACCTAAATTCAGTAGAAAAAAAGTTATGGCCTCAAAGAAGTCCATTTTTGACATTTTGGTTAATTTCTGAAACGTAACTTTTTTCAATAACTACTCCGGCAAATCGGAGATTAAGGGTTCAACCGAAAAAGAAAATCAGTTATGCGAATATTATCTGTGCAAGCGCCTATGTAAAACGTTTTTTTAATAACTACACTGTTGATTCTGATGTTGATAGTTCAAATAAACTAAAATGTGGCTTAGATTTTCCCTGCGTAATCTGTTTTACCGTTTTTTTTTATTTAAAAAAGCTGCTATGGACTTCGGAAAAATTCTTTTTTTAAATTTTACAATATATTTATTTTCTAGAAACTTCGTCACTACTCTCAAAAACTACTACCGAAATCCGATATTAAGGACTCTAAAAAATCAGAGTGCGGAAATCTTCAATCTAGAAACCAGGACACAGAAAACAGAGGCTATTCGCATGCATTCATAGTGAAAAGTTTATGGTGTAGGAGAAGTTTTTTTAAGAAGGAGAGGTTTTTTTTATGGGTGTAAGAACGATTTTTTGGAATCCTTTTTACTTTTTGTCAAAAACTACCCGGCCAAATCTGAGATAAAGATTTCAATAGAGAGCGCGAGAAGTTGTGTTCTTTTTTAAATCAGCAGTTAATCTCCTACTTGAGCAGAGAAACACTAGTGTTTAGTGTTAAGTCCATTTTTTTAAACTTTGAAAATTACACATTTTCGTATCAATATATTATATGATTATATATATTTACACTAGCATAGGTTGTGTTATAGCTTGAACTTTCTTTTTTTTTCAACCTAAGTCGCAAATATTGTTGCGATCCAATAGTTGGGACTAAATGTGTTTATTTCGAAAGTGTTCATTTTGATCCAGCTATAAAGTACAGCCAATGCTATGGATATTAACACAGACTACTATAATAGATATAGGATTTTAACTTCAAGGTATCAAGGATTTGTAGCGCAGAGGTAGGGAAGGAGACCAGCAGCAAAAAAAAGGGTTAGAACTTGGGTATGGTCGGATGTTTTTAATGAATTTTTTGGTATACTAGTTAAAATGCGTCCGCGTCTAATGTGCCATAGTTGGCTGGCGTCACTTAGCATTTTTTTAGACTCATAATTGGCAAGCGTCAATTAAGAAATTTTGTAGAACCGAAGTTTTACTCATTCAGTTTTTTGAAGTAGCGTTGCTGGGAATATTTTGCTTGTGTATGCGAAGTGTGTAGAACAGGTAGATTCAGCACTAGCTGGGCCGCAAGTTCACTTGCAAGCGAACGTGGTGCAGATGCGAGGACGTGAGATTTCCTACTCCATAGGTCGGATATTCATATCCAGACATTTAAATCATTATTTTTTTGGTCGAATTTTCGCTGCATAACGTTGGCGGCTTGATAGAAACTGTACCTGCTTTATTGGTGGCTAGTGTTGATAAAATTATCAGTGGTCGTGGAGCAGATGTGAGAACGTGTTACTTCTAATCACAACAAAACCTTATTCAAGGTGTTTTTAAAATTGTTGCCATATTTCACTTTGTTTTGACTATTTAGAGCTCTTTTTTGCATTTTTCGCTTGTGTTTGCAAAACGCAGCTTCACCTCTGTGTAGTAAATTGTCAAGGGTCCGTGGCGCAAATGCGAGTACAGAGGAGTAAGTCTACTGAACGCGGGTCGAATCTGCCACAGAAGAATATTCATTTGTCAAGGCTCATTTTTACCTTTATCTCGCTTTATAGAGCTGGTTTTTTGTCGTTTTCCCGCTAGTGTTTTCGTTTCTATCTTAAAATATTTAAATCATTAGTCGAAAATTTGTAACAGCAGATTTAAGCGCACATTGATAATGCCACGAATTGTTGTTTCTTAAGAGTCATGAACGTAGTGTATTCTTAAATAGGTCATGGTACTTAAGAGGCGATGAACGTTGTTTAGAGGATTATATACGTCGTGATCAGTATTTTTTTTTCGAGAAAATTTTTAAGATTTAATTTCTTCAGGCTCGAATTCACTTTTCCGTGGTTTGACTTTTGGTTTTTTTAAATTCAGTTTATTTCCTTTGTTAAAAGGAAGGCAAACACCACTATCGAACAGCAAAAGTGCATAGGTCGAACAACAAAAAGCCGATCATAAAATTTTTTAGAATTCAGAGAACTTAAAAGTTATTTGTTTTTCTTAAGTGAAATTCGAAAGTTGAGATTTCAAAAAACAAGGTGGTTTTTTTCTGTTCAATTGTGTTCATTGATTTTTTTTTCGAATTGTCTGTTTGCTATGTTTTTTCTTCAGGAAAGAGTCTTAGTATTTTTCACGCTCAAATTTGATGTTTAGTTGTTCGACTTGATTTTTTAATTTACTTCATTTCCTTTAATAAAACAAAATCAAACTCCTGTATCGAACAGCAGAAATTTTAAAGTCGCGATCAACTTGATCGGCTTCTAATTTCGAAAAAAAAGTCTTTTTCTGAATTTTCAGCGTAATTAAATGTTTATGTATTGATTCAGTTTTCTCAAATTGGGTTATTTTATCCAAAGAAAACAATCTCAAATTTTTCCTGAAAATCAAAGAGCTTCAAGGCCACTTATTTTTTCAGATTTTGAAAGTTGAGTTTTTTTCGAAAAAATGTCAGTAATTTTTTCTGTTTTCTTTAGTGACTCATTTCCATCTGCCTGCTAGCTATGGTTTTTGTAACTCACTAAAAAAATGTTTGTCTGGATAAGAAGAAATTTGCGCCCTCCAAGTGAAGAAATGGCTCGAGAACAGTCACTGGCTTTATGTTTTTGAGTTGGATTTTAGTTTTTATATATCCTTGCTTAATTCATCATTGACATACTGATCCAATTTTCTCAAAAAGATATCGTTTTGAAAAATTCTTGATAATCACAATCTGTAGGCGTTCTATTTGTTCCTTGATTATCTTGATTATTGGTTCAATTGTTTTTGCACAGTATGTTCGCTTTTTTCTGACCTCTTCGATTTCTGTTGGGCCATTTCTTGCTTGGCTTTTTGGCCAATGCCGGTGGTCGCTAGTTTAAGTTGTTTGCAAGAGGGTTAAAAAACATTCAACAATCATCTTGATCTTTTTTTAACGCGATTAATTTGATACTCAATATCTCTCAGAACTGTAAAATTAACTGGTATAACAGATGTCAACTTTTTGAGAAAACATACGCTCGAAATTTTTCCTCAGTTAATATTTTTTTCATCAAAATTAAACAATTTTATAACAATTTTACATTAGATTTAGCGAAAGCAAGAGATATCAACTAGATGAGCTGAAAGTATAAAAAAGCTCGCTAGTTTAATTTGCCTGGTTTATTGAAACTTATGGCCCACAAATTTTAATGACATTTTAGACAGCTAGGAGGAATCGTAACCACGCGACTGCGTTCACAACTAAGTCAAAGTATATAATTTTCTTCATCTGGACAAAATGGAAAAAATACTTGCTAATAACTAATCTCGGATAAGGTTCATTCGTTCACAAGGTCAAGTTGTTGTTTTTCTAGTAAAAGTCTGAAGAAGTATTCTCAATCAAATTTGTTTTGCTTATAGCAATCATGTTTTTTTAAAATCCACTCTTAATCAACTACCAACCT